AACATCCACCATCCACTGTCCCAGGAACCTCCCCCCACGCCCCAGCAGTGCTGATAAATGGGAGCCAGCCCCACACGCCTTGCCTGCTGCTCACCTCCGCGCTAAGCCACAAGGTCAACGGTTTGGGTTGGATTGATGCAGAGAGGGAGGGAAAGGCAGAACTGGGTTGGAAAAGGGGTCGAAGCTGGCAAGGGTGCGCTTAAGAATGTTTTCAACATGCTGCCCCCTCTCGAGATTCCAGCGACACCAGAGAAAGACGTCTCACGTGATGCGCTGAGCGCAGGGAAGCAAGCCAGCGCACTGTGTTTAGAATGGCTGTAACAGCTGCATTGTACACTCCTGAGCACCAGCCAAGAATGCACCACTCCTGAGAATATATGCAAATCCTAGGAAGATATTTATGGTTATTGTTGTTACAGTTAATAGAGCTCCACAGCTGCCTAACGGGGGGAAAAAATTCAACTTCCTGAACTCAGACCTCAGTTGGTGGAAGCGAGCCCACTGCTTCTGAAGCACACGGGTTGGTTTTAAATCTCCCTGAACAAAATTGTTGGAATAGCTTTAGAATCCCCGTTTCCATGGCAGCAACCAATTGTGTTTGTCCAGTGTTATAAATACCTTCTTGACCTATTGGTGCTATTAGCAACGTGGGCCCCCCTGAAAAAGGCGCCTGTGGGAACAAAGAAGGGAATGTGGCAATGCTGGGCAGAAGGGTGGGAACAGTCAGACTGAAGGCTTCTTGTTCCAGTTGGGAGCTCGCTGAGACATAACATGGTATTTGACAAGACGTTGTCTTGTGAAGAGTTTTATTCGTTTATAGGAAATGGTGTTATGACACATACACCAAATCTTGTTGGAATCTGAAGCCATCGTGCTACTGATGGGGGCTAAGTCCCATCCTGGAGCTGTCACGTGTGTGTACGTTTGGAAAGTTTGCCTGCTAAAACCACTCAAACTACAATGTCTGTATATCTGCTCAAGTCCGTTACAATCCTTAACAATCTGCAAGGCTAGAATGTGAGTTGCTTGGTTTGAGCATAACGCGTTGTTTGCAGGCTGCAACGCACCATGTCATGTGAACCCAGGCAAATGTGGTTTATTTAACCATCTAAGGTTAAACAGATCTTGGTTTAGTGGGTTGGGCGAACCCAGCTGCCCCTTTGGTTTCAGAATGAGGAGGTGGCAGGTAAGCGGATCCTCCTCGGTAAGAGGTAAACATCTAGAAAGAGAGGAACCAGTTGCCGTGGAGGAAACACCTCTGCTCCTAAAGCCAGCCCTTCAGATTTTGGAAGGGTGGAATAGACACTGAAACGCCACTACCACCCACCAAAGGTGGTGGTGCATAGTAGGCAAGCTTGATTAGGCTGCGATGAATCCTTCCACCTCACAAACAAGATAATTCTGGTTAACAAGTGCTGGGGGAATTAATTGTTGTTGTTGTTTTTTTTAAGAAGAAGGATAGCTCTAGTTCAACCATCTGCTGGATCATAGCTAGAAAGTGCTGAGCAACAATGCCTGGATGCACACGCGGTTTTCTTTTTTGTGGAATGGCATGTTGTGTAGGCCAGCCATTATGATTTTTAACTGTGCTTTAAAACAGAGATGGGCAACCTACAATCCCCTTTTGGGGGCCCTTAGAACCCCCCGTTCTCATCACAGTTGTTGAAATCTGTGTTTCCCACCCTTTTGCAATGGAAAATGTACAATATGGAGACTGTGGTGTTGCAACTAAAATAGCCACATCGCAATTAAAAAAACAAAGACTCTTCAAATTCCACCCAAACTTTTAGCTCTATCCGCAGGTGTAATGCACCCCACTCATTTTGCGATCCTTCGCCTCCCATGTGCAAAATACGAAGTATGGCCCTTGGCCTCCAACGGGTTGCCTACTGCTATTGTGAATCCAGCCAATGGAGGCTTATTCCACAAGCATCACAAAATTGTCAGTTAGTGCAGCGCATGAAGTCAGACAATGTCTGATAAAGAATCAATGTTTTGTTTTACATTTTTTTTATTGCCCAACGTCAGAATTGGGAAATTGTTATATTCTTCTAAAAGAACTCCATAGCACCAAAACACTTAATGGCTGACTTCCCAGTTCTGATGTGAAAGCACTCCAACCGGACTTTTTCAACCCTGCTGCAGACCAAACCTTTTCACTGCAACGTGGGAAAACAAAATGTGAGCATCTGGCATCAAAACTGCTTCAAGAGGCGTTTGGATTTGTTCCACTACCCCAAAGGAAACGGATTCTTCAAACTATGTCATGCTGTGCAATCACAGGCTTTCTCCCTGGGATGTACCCTCTACTAAGCATGCTTAGCTTTGCAGCCTCAATTTATCGTTCGAGATGCACTCAGTTATTTTCAGAACGCAATGACTGAATTGTCTCACCAGGTTTTTATAACTGAAATTTTCAGATACTTAATTCACACCTAAGTAATCAGCAATGTCTCATTATTTTTATCCAGTAATAACAGGTTGCCAGACTGGAATAGTGGAGTCTAAATGAAGATTTGTACAACCAAGTCAGAAAACCTTTTGCAGATGTATGACTGCTTCATTCATCATATTTTGTAATGATGTATCACCATCTCAGCCACGTTCATATGTGGATTTTAGTGGGAATTAGCTATTTTGCTCTATCTGTCCACCTTACTTTTTATTTAAGCCCTTGTTTGCTCCTCTAGCGTTTTCTTCCAAGTATGGGCAGACTTTTTGTTTCGTCTTCTCCCATCCTATTCATGGACAAGGGAGGAAAAATATGTACTGTAGCATAATGTGATCGCTGAAATAGCCACTAGAGGACACTCACATACATGTGTACAGATTTAGATAGCACCACAACCTCTTGTTTATGATATTAACTGCATCCGAGATAATGAAATGCAAACGCCTGGCCAAGGTCAGACTGAGACTTTCTAATTCAGCATCCTGTTTTCCACAGTAGCCAAATAGGAAGATGGAAAACAGACATCCACAGCCAACATCCTGATGTTCTGGAACTACAACTCCCAGAATCACCAACCAGCTCTCATAAATCCTCATTACTGTATTGCCGATTAAGAGCCCAATCAGGCAGGACGCATGTAAGCAGCAGCATTCTTTGCCAATGTCTTGTTTTAATCCACCCACTGAACTAGGCTTTAGTTTGTTTTAAACCCCATTTGTGGAAGAAACCCTCAATAGTGGTTTACCCACCAGATTATGACTTGGTGGAATGCGTGAACTCAGTTCTGATCTGGGCCAGCTGAGTGATTTAAAGCATCCTTATCTCTGTGGACTCACAGAGGCTGATTGGATTATCTAAGAGCGTAAGAATTCCTGGGAATGCATCACTTCTCTTGACTGTTGAAAAGAACCAAACCTTTCTCCTCTTTCGTTTTATAAGATAAAATGTCCGCCAAATGTACCAATATTGAGGCACAGCCGTAAGTGGGGGGAAATTATGCAGCTAAAATAAAGGGCAGATCTCCTTGATTCTTTCAGCCAGTGTTTCTCAACCGTGGCAAGTTTAAGATGGGCGGACTTCAACTCCCAGAATCCCCCAGCCAGCTTCTGGGAGTTGAAGTCCGCCCATCTTAAACTTGCCAAGGTTGAGAAACACTGCTTGAGTCTCAGCTATTTGGATAATTCTAGAAAAAAGGAAAGCAAGCAGTCAGAAAGGGCTGGTTACCCTGAACGTGAATCCTCCATCTGGGTTAGGGTTGTGGCTGAATCCGGTTGTGGTTCCCACAAACGACTGAGTCCAGGCCCCCAGGCAGATTTCTCCAGGGAAGAACTGCAGGGCCCTTCAGTTCTGAGCAGACCCTCTTCAAAGCAAGGGGGGCAGAGGGCTAGGTCGCCCCCCCACGCCCCCCAGGTCAGCGCCTCCTCCTCACAGGGCACACGTTCAACAGGCAATGCGGCCTTTCCCCTGCACTGTCGACACTCAGCTGCCTTGGCCCCTCTGGTAGGTTTGGGGGGACTCGGCGGGGGTCCCTTTGGCCCTCTTGGGGGGCCGGGCAGCGTTTATTGCTTCCAGTGATTTATATGGATTGATTGATTCCATCTTCCATCCTCCACTCGATCAAGGTGGGGGACACAATGTAACCTCCTTGCATACAATGTCACCTTTCCTTTCGGCTTCACAACAACCCTGCCAGGTGGACCAACCTGGCCCCAAAGGATAGCTGGCTGAAGGGGGGGTTCTTGGCCACGCGGGCGCCTCCCGCCCTCAGGCCGTTTCCAGGGTCCCCCCACATGCTCATGGCCCGGTTGCTAGGCAACCCGAGCTTGTTCTCCCCCTACCCATCCCTCTGCACTCTCCTGAGCCGTTCCTCTCCCTGTTGCTAGGTCACCAAAGCCCCTCCCTTTCCAGTCAGCGATTGACCGGAGCGCCCCCGCCCCCTCCTGTCAGACAGAGCAAGTTAGCACGCGCCCGAAACACGCGCAGAAGCAGTCCTCTCTCGGCCACACCCCTTTGGCCCCGCCAGGCCAATCGCAACCCGCCGAAGGGCGGGGCTTTGGGGCGAGCCGTGAGTGACAGCGGCGGGCGCCCCGCCGGGGGCCCCGAGGGGTGGG